GTGTGTGTATTCATGTGTTTGTGTGATCTTATTTTTGTTTGTGGACTCACAGTTAGTTTTTTTTTTAGCGATGGTCCCGTGTGATTGTTTTCACTTGGATCAACAACAAACAATTTAACTTATGAACACCATGAGTAACCTGAAACACCAATAATATTATAATGGTGGCCTTTATTTTAAAAAGCCAGATAAGTTTTGTGAGCACAGCATTGTGCTTTTTACTGTTTCCCCAAAGAGAGAAGAAGGCAGAAAAAAGTCTTCCCATTATGTTGGAAGGCTACAGAAACAATGCTTTAAACACAGACATGAAACCCTCCATGGCTTTTTCAAGATCTGATCTCCCAAATGCTTGCGAACTATCTCGTAGACCTAGTAGAATTGTATGCTCTGCTAGTGACGTCTTAGTGATGCCAGGCATTAATTCTATACGCTTGCACACTGATAGAATAATTACCTTGATACCCCACAGTTTTATTTCACTAGGCAGAATTCGCTCGAACTTTTTCATTAAATTTTGTTGATATAAATGGTGCTTCTACTACTTATGTTATATTGTTATATTTCATTACATTACATTATATTATATTATATTATATTATATTATATTATATTATATTATATTATATTATATTATATTATATTATAATGTGCTATTTGTGATTTGCCAATTTTGAATAGCTTTGATGATGTGCTTTTGTTGGCGTTTGTGTTCGCTGGCCTTCGGCGATACCAAAGAATTCATATATGTATTGTACGGTATCGTTTAGCACTACGGATTTTAGGATTTAGTCATTCCACGAGCTGCCCTATGTCTTATATTTTACATATCGAAAATGCTAAAGTTATTTATTTTTATACACATAAATAATTGTTTTGCTCTCCTTTTCTTGTGTTGTTTATCTAATTGTGGCATCAGATGTTATTAATTGATGTGGAGACAAGGCAGTGAGAAGTAAATCTGATGGTAGGTGGTGGAGTCAAGAGAATAGTGATACTACCAGACTGATAAGAATAGGAAAGACCAGGAAACTGATGATGATGATGATGATGATGATGAATGTATGCAATTTTTGAAATTCTAAGTTTCCACCGTTTTTTGGTCTTTTTGCTGTCTGCAATGATGATGATAATTTTTTTTGCTTGTTTCCGTAATGGGCCTGGTGGACTCCATGAAAAATCTGTGAGCGAGAGCAAGGCTCTTTTTTGCCCCATTTCATTATACTGAGAGGCACCTCCACTCGTCCAAATAACTCCATTTTCTGATGATGATGATGGTGATGATGATGATGATGATGATGATAGTGGTGAGGAGGAGGAGGAGGAGGAGGAGGGGGGGAG